TAATTCTGAAAAAGTGAGGACAAGTAAAACCATGGTCAGTTAACATTTCGTATCTGACTGTGTGTATGTCTACAGTAAGTCTGTGTGGGGAATGTGAATACATATGTAGGTATATATATATGCTATACAAAACTTCATGTTCTACTTTTTTATACTTTAGTATCTTTTTATTAATATTTCTTAAACATTGTCCAATATTGAAGGGTCTTTACAAATATTTTCTAACTGCATCATCTGACGCTATTATAAATAATCCTGGGATGGACCATCTTGTACAGAAATCTTCTCTACATATATGATTATTTCCTTAAGATAAATGCTGGGAGGAGAATGAGGTCAGAGTATGGGCAGTTTGTTTTTTTAACGTTCATTTTGAGAGAAAGAGAGTGTGAGCGGGGGAGGGGCAGAGCGAGAGAAAGAGAGAGAGAGAGAGAGAGAGAGAGAGAATCCCAAGCAGGCTCCATGCTGTCAGCACAGAGCCCAGTGTAGGGCTTAAACTCACCAACCATGAGATCGTGACCAGGGCCGAAATTATGAGTCAGACGCTCAACTGACTGAGCCCCCCAGGCGTCCCAGAGAATGGGCAGTTTGGGGGCTCTTGATACATTATTTTTCAGGAAGATGATACCGTGTGTACATTTGCCAGCAATATGCACACGCCTCTGCCATAGTGTCTCCTTGTCTGTCCTGACTTGTATCTTCTTCAGAAATCATTTTTTCTCATTTCTTAGGCTAACAATGGCATTTGCTGCTTCTTTGTTTTTTGGCTAATGAAAATCAATCACTAATAAGTTATAATTTATGTGTCTTTCATTATTAGTGTGGCTTTTTTTTACTGCCTTTTTGTAGTTGCGTGAATTTACTATTTCATAATTTCTTGTAACAAACGCACATGATAGGTACGATACCGTAGGAATACTTTTAAAAGTTAAAAAGCGTCCTCTAGACAAGGCCTTTGTCCCAAGAGCTTACCTAGACGGAAGTGGGACACAGTCACTATTAAAGTGACCTTGGACACTGGGCTGTGTTTAAATTTTTTTTTTTCAACATTTATTTATTTTTGGGACAGAGAGAGACAGAGCATGAGCGGGGGAGGGGCAGAGAGAGAGGGAGACACAGAATCTGAAACAGGCTCCAGGCTCTGAGCCGTCAGCCCAGAGCCCGACGCGGGGCTCGAACTCACGGACTGCGAGATCGTGACCTGGCTGAAGTCGGATGCTTAACCGACTGCGCCACCCAGGCGCCCCTGGGCTGTGTTTAATGTGCACGCAGAGTGGATGAGACAGACTGTATCCCACAGCAGGTGTTTCTTAGCCCTCTTTTCATTGTTGCCCCTGAGGAGCATTTTGCAACATATTCTCCTAATTGCTCACCTCCACCCTCAACCCCACATGAAATAAAATACTGAGGAGGAAGATTCTGTCGGGTGGGGTTAATGTTTGGAGGTCCATTAATCGCTGTCACCCAAGAACAGGATTCCGTCCCCCTGGGGGGGCCGTCTCCCCCAGGCACGTGTGTGCCGGCGAATCAGGAATGGGCAGGAGGGGCGTCGCAAAGCTGGAGTCTGAGTCGGGGTGGGGGGTGGTCTCGGCAGCCCCTCCTCGCTAGAAGCCGGGGTGACAGCTGTGACGCATGAGAGCACGGACAGCTGACCCGCAGGGACGGCAGTCCCAGCCGCATCACAGACTGTGCCCTCGTTTCCGCC